CCTAGTGAATGGTGTAGATATGAGGTTACTCGTAATTATTTCATTCAAGATTATTCAACAAATCGGAGCTAACACAACATCGGGAGAGCTGTCCTCTGTTGACTGCAAAGGAGACACACTCGAAGTAATGCCGCCAGTTGGAAAATTTTATGCGGAGCTAAGCCCGGCCAACAAGAAAAATTACCTCGCCATTGCCGCGGGGAGTGGGATCACCCCTATTCTTTCTATCATAAAGACGACCCTTCACACCGAACATCGCAGCACCTTCACCCTCGTATATGGTAACAGGAGCCGCTCGTCGATCATTTTTTTCGAAGAATTGGAATCGCTGAAAAATAAATACATGCAGCGCTTCAATTTTATCAATATACTTAGCCGTGAACGAACCGATGCCGCCATCAACTTTGGTCGTATAAATAGTGAAAAGCTCAATGATCTTTCACGGGTTATTGAATATTCATTGGTAGATGAAGCTTTTTTGTGCGGCCCCGAGGAAATGATATTTACCGCCAAAGCTTTTCTGGAAGCAAGAGGTATTGATAAAAAGAAGATCCATTTTGAACTATTTGCCTCATCCACTCCTGTTAGTTCACGACCCATTAATAGTGGTGTTCGCGAAGGCGAAACGGGTCCTCAAAGTCTCATTACCATTAAACTTGATGGAAGAAGTATCGACGTAAACATTCCCCTGAATAGTGATACGACAATTCTTGATGCAGCCCTCGTGCAAGGCGCTGACCTGCCATATGCCTGCAAAGGTGGTATGTGCTGCACCTGCAAAGCAAAATTAGTCGAGGGCGAAGTGTCAATGGATGTACACTGGGGACTTGAAGAAGAAGAAGTCGCCAGGGGTTATATACTAACCTGCCAGTCACATCCAAAGACAGAAAAGATAGTTGTCGACTTTGATATAAAATAATACATCATTTTACCAGCTCGAAAGAACTACGCAGGCGGATATCTTCAGAAGAGGAACCAAGCATGATATCGAAATCCCCTGGTTCGGCTATCCATTGCAGGCTGTCGTTGAAAAAAGACAGCTTCTCCCTGTTAATAATGAACTGAATGGTGGTCGATTCACCTGGCTGCAGTTTTACTTTTTTAAAATCCTTTAATTCCTTCACTGGTCTTACTATGGACGCAAACCGATCGCGTATGTATAGTTGCACTACCTCTTCACCTGCATATTTGCCATTGTTCGTCAGCTTCATCGATACATTGAGCGTTCCATTCAAGGGCATTTTGTTATTGCTTATGATAAGATCGCTGTAAAGAAACTGTGTATAGCTGAGCCCATATCCAAATTCATATTGAGGATAAATGGAAAGATCGGTAT